ACTTTCTGCCAGATAGGGAAACCTCCAGTTCTGCTTGGAAGCCTCTGATATGTCTTCATTAGCTGCCCAGCTGGCCTCATTAGGCAGTGAGGTATCGTGTCTGCAGGCCCCCGCCCCCTGTCTGCTGTCTGTTTTCCTGAGGAGTTTGATCTGCGTCTTCGGAGCCTGAAACCATCTTGCAGAGCCCGAGGACCAGTGCTGATCTCAGCGCCCTCTGCAGCTGGCCCTGCGCTGGGCTGGCTGTGCGTGGGTGCCGGGCGGGTGGGAGAGTGACGTCCCTGGTGAGGCTTTGACCAGCACCTGAGAGGTGGGTGGGTTGGTGGCTGTGGGGGGTGGGGTGACTTTGGCCTTGAGGGGGTTTCTGGGGCCCTCCTTTTCCCTGAGAGTGAGGTTTCCCCTTGGGTTTCAGGCTGTGTAGGGAGCCTGTTTCCTGCCACTCACGTCTGGGTGGAGTGTAGCGAGGTGTAGTGTAATGAGGTGGAGTGACAGGCACGTCCCGGGGCCCTTGTCTTTTGCTCCGAGTGGTCTGAGCTGTTGGGGCTCCTTTGCAAGGTGAGCCTGCGGGTGGCCAGAAGCCAGGCCGGGACCTCCATCGTTGCCTGTAAGGTGAACACTGCTCTGTCCCTTCAGCCTTAATTGACTTGCTTTAGGGACACTTGCCTTCTCAGCTGCGTTACAATACTTGATAGTGCCACGCACAGTCTGTTCTTCTGTGATTCTTGAATCGAGGGTCGTTTAACTGACCCTGTAGCTTTCTGAGCCTGAAGAGGAGTTATTTAAAGGCTAAGGTTGTTAGTCTGAAAGATGTAGATAATACCAGCTCCACCAGCCATTGTGTTGAGTGCTTCATATTCAGGACCACGGGGCACAAACGGCTGGCCTGAACTTGAATTTCAGTCTACAGGTAGCTGGGTGTGTGTGTCCATACATGTGTCTGCTGGGTGGATTTTACTTTTGGACTTTGGACAGTTTTACATTTGGGAGATGTGTGTTTCTGAGTGTTCTCCGAAGAGCGAGGATGAGGCAGAGCCGTGCTTGCAGCACCCCAGTGTGCGTGCCTGCACGGCCACGAGCTGGCAGCCTGCTGGTAGCTGCCTGCCTGAGGGCACTCTCCTGCCCTCTGCCCTCGGGGTCCTCTGCGGGGTCCTGCGTCCTCGTCCCCCCACCCTGCTCTGCCCATCGTGTTCCCTGCCTGGGCCGTGTGGCACCCTAGTTTGGCACCTAATAGGCAGTCAGATATTCGTTGAGTCCATTATTTTTTTTAACCTCAAAGCAACCTTCCAGTTATGAAGGAGGAAATTGAGATTAAAAGAGTTTAAATGTTTTGTCTAAAGTTATACAGTCTCTAAATGGCCAAGTAGGTCCTGAGGGCCACTTTGAGTCTAAGGCTAGTAATTTTGTTGATTGATTGACTGAATAAGTGATTCTTTAAATTCTATAGTGCTTTACAGTTTTCAGAAGTTACACACACAATTTCATACAGTAGTCCCATAATAACCCCCTTTCCACCCCTGTATTGCCCCTGCCCCCTTCCCGCTCCTCGCCGGCAACCACTAGTGTGTTTTCTCTATACGAATGTTTTTTTTTTTTTATTCACTAGTTTGTTGTGTTTTTTAGATTCCACATATTAGTGATCAGTATTTGCCTTTCTCTGTCTGACTTATTCCACTTAGAAGGTAGTCGTTTTTCCACTAAATCCCTTAAACTCTTCACAGCCCGGACTTGTTCGTAGCAGACAGGATATTGACCGCTCTTTAAAGAGTTTCCGCAATGTGGTCTGCTCTGGCTCTGAGCGGGCATCATGACTAGAAAGCAGGCAGTGGCGAGGCGCCTGTCATTGCTTCAGCCAGTGGCACTGACTGCTCTTGTTAGGTGTGTGGGTCTCAATGTGAAAATGCTTACTGGCATCAGAAATTATTTCCTTTCCAAAGTAATCTGGTAGTCTCTGTTATTCAGCTCAGGCTACCATGGCAGAATACCATAGACGGGGAGGCTTGAACACGTGAAACTTGTTTCTGGCAGTCCTGGATCAGGGTGCCAGTACGGCCAGCTCTGGTGAGGGTTCTCATCCCAGTTTGCAGACAGAGAGCTCTCTTATAAAGATAGCCCTCCTGTCGTATCAGGCCCACTCTTATGACCTCATTTAACCTGAATTACCTTCTTCACCAGCCCTGTCTCTGTCTACAGTCATGTTGGGTTTCAACAGAGGAATTTTTTTCGGGGGCTGGGGGTGTCACATACACAATTTGGTACATAGCATCAAGTTTTAGGTGAGAAGATAGTAAGAACCTGGAATTTGCCTATCTATCGCAAGGGAAAAATGTGAGTAAAATTGCCTGTCATGCACTACTGTTAATCATAGGGTGATTTGCAGTGCTCAGGATTGTAAGTTACATTCCTACTTCCTTCTCTCATTCCCTCTCTGCTTCTTTGATTTCACTGCTTGAGACCAAGTCCGGGATCATGTTGTCCTCCTCTCTGTGCCTGCTCTCCTCCCCTGGGTACCCCCGCAGGCTGGCCTTGAATTCACTGGGTTAAAAAAATTTTTTCTTTCCACCTTTTTTACTGGCAGAATTTTAGATCTGTAGAAAAATGGAAAGGGTAGTACAGTGAACAGCCATATTTACCATTTAACATTTTGTCACCTTTGTTTAATAACTCAACATGGATACTTATGCACACATATACACACACATACACAGAAAAATACTTTTTATTCTTGAGGCATTTGAAAGTATCTAGCATGCATCTTTTTACTCCTATATAATAACAGAGATATTTTTATATAATCACATGTTGTTTTCACATCTGAGAAATTTAACATTGATAGACTATTAAGTTAGGGCAAAAGTAACTAGGGTCAAACACATCTTTATTAATCAGAATAGGAACCATTACAATCAACATACTTTGCCAATGAGAAGTAAGTTTGTTTATTCCTGTAGCATAAAAATCTATGCTTTGGGATTCAACAAACTCTTGGAAAGCATTTCCTACCTCCTTCTGGTTTGTAAATATTTTCCCTGCAAAAAGTTGTAGAGATGCTTGAAGAGGTGGTAGTGGGTTGGTGAGAGGTCAGGTGAACATGGTGGATGAGGCAAAACTTCATAGCCCAATTTGATCAACTTTTGAAGCTTTGGTTGTGCAACATGTGATCAGGCGTTGTTGTGGAGAAGACCTGGGCCCATTCTGTTGACCCACTCTAGCTGCAGGCATTGCAGTTTCCAGTGCATTTCCTCAATCTGCTGAGCATACTTCTCAGATGTAATGGTTTCACTGGAATTCAGAAAGCTGTAGTGGATCACATGGGCAGGAGACCACCAGACAGTGACCATGAGCTTTTTTTGGCGCAGGTCTGGCTTTGGGAAGTGCTTTGGAGCTTCTCAGGCCAACCACTGAGCTGGTCATTGGCAGTTGTTGTATAAAATCCACTTTTAATTGCCTGCCAGGCTCCTCTGTCTATGGGATTCTCTAAGCAAGAATACTGGAGTGGGTTGCCATTTTATTCTCCAGGGGTTTAATTGCACATCACAATCCAATTGAGAAATGGTTTGTTGTCATATAGAATAGGAGAAGATGACAATTCAAAACAACAGTTTTGTTTTTTTTTTTAATTTTCAGTCAGCTCATGAGGCACCCACTTATCGAGCTTTTCCACCTTTCCAAGTTGCTTCAGATGCTGAATGATCATAGAATTATCAACGTTGAGTTCTTTGGCAACTTCTCCTGTAGTTGTAAGAGGATCGGCTTCGATGATTGGTCTCAGTTAGTTGTTGTCGGCTTCCAGGGCCGGCTACTGCCCTCCTCATCTGCAAGGCTCTTGTCTCCTTTGCAGAACTTCTTGAAACACCACTGCACTGTATGTTCATTAGCAGTTCCTGGGCCAAATGTGTTGTTGATGTTGCAAGTTGTCTGCACTGTTTCAGGACCCATTTTGAACTCAAATAAAAAATCACTCAAATTTACTTTTTGTGTAACATCATTTATATAGTCTAAAATAAATATAAATAACATGTAATAAGTCATTAGCAATAAAAAAAAGAGAAATGTGCATTAAAATGATGTATAGCACAACCACATTTATTTAAGAATGTATTCCAATATCAAATGGCAAAGTTCAACAATCCAAAATCCCAGTTACTTTTGCACCAGCCTTATTCAAATTCCCCCATTTTCTGTTCTGTTTTGTTTTTTTAATAATGTTCATCCTGTCTCTGGAGCCTTATTTATCTGGACCTTCTTTCCCGCTGTCTGTTTGGCGAGACTGCTGCCTTGAGCTTCCTGAAGCTGATGCCATGCTGCTCCGCCTTCACGCCTCTGCACTGGCTGGTTACCTTGTTTGGAGCCTGTCTCATCCCATTTCTTCCTGCTGAAAAGCTGTGTTTCTAAGCACATTTTAAGTGGTTCCTTCCTCTTCCATAAAGTGTTTCTTGGTATCCTCTGGTGTGCTTACTCCTCTCTACTGTGTGAGCTCTCTGTACTCTTGTATAACATTTATTACATCCTGTCCTGTATTAAATGTAGAACTTATGGACTTTTTCCCCATCTGCCTTTTAAAACTTTGCACTTCTTGAATACAGGTGCTGTGTAACCTTTACCACACTTTTCTGTTGCTAAGTATTTAATTGGCCTACATCCAGAATGCTTTACATGGTGTTTTATTTTTAGAATAATTCACTTATTTGTAGTGTTTTCCACTTTGGTCTGAAATTTCTAGTTTCCAGACATCATCTTAAAGGATGAAAAGAACTGAGGGGTGTAGACTTTAACATGGACACAGGGTTGGGATCTGAGTTTTTTGTGCTCTCTGGAGCTGTGCCCACAGAGTCAGAGCTGTCATGCCACGGCTCTGCCCCATGCCGTATCTCGCAGGGGTTGTGTTCAGAGTCCCGTTGGTGAGTGGGTGATGAACTTGGGGTGTTGGATAGCCTGTTGTGTCCGCAGCAGGAAGCACTGGGAATGACACAGAGCAGCTGTAAGATCTCTTCTTTTACATCTAGGTTCGAGATGCAGCAATAAACAGCTTAGTGGAAATTTACAGACATGTAGGAGAACGTGTGAGGGCAGATCTCAGTAAAAAAGGATTGCCACAGTCCCGGTGAGTTCAGACTTTTTTCCTTTCTCTTGCTCTTTCCCCCCCTCTTTCTCAGTTAACATCCTGGTTTGCATTGCTTGTTTTGTTATGGGGTAATGTTTTTGAAAGACGACATGGTGAGAAGATTGGTGGATGGTGATCTTGTCCAGATCATGCCTCAGGGGTCCCCTTTCATTCCACTTGCTCAAAAGTAAGACTTTCTCACCCAGACATCTGACCTGGTCCCATGCCACTGACTGTTTTTAGAAGCATATTTAAAAGTGATTAGTGTTGAAAGATTTTGCATTCTCTGGGTTCATGTGGTTCTACATTTCGTATGTACATGGAACCTGGTATCTTGGGGGCTTGTAGTGTATTTGTTTGAATGAAGTCTTTCCCAGATAAATCTGGATAGAAATATATAAGTGATAATTCTGGACATCTTTGAGATGGTAGCTTTCTGGCTAGTAATGCCAGTTTCAACATGCAAGTCTCCAGTGCAAGGAGATTAGTGTCTTACCATATCCAGAGTCCCCTTGAGTCCACAGATGTTTTCTGTTGTCAAACTTTTAAAAATAATGAAAAATCAGTTATCTATGATTTTTAACTATGATGTAGAAATTTTATACCAAATGAATTTTAAACCTTTTGACTGTCTAATTGGGAGAAGGTAATATGAAAACCCTGGGAAGTTAGGCCTCGATGGGACTCGCCAAGTGGTTTGTCTGGGCCTGTTATTGTGCCCATGGGGACAGCTGCGGCCCGGTGACAGGAAGTGACTGGAGACGTGACCCAGCTAGAAAGTCAGGGCTCAGGCTGATATCCTGTGCTTCATTTTCTCTATCCAGTCCACAGATGAGCTTGGAGAGTATTGGGCATCTCCACCTGAGGCAGAATGTTGAGATACACAGGAGCCATCTGTCTTGACGCCCCTCATTTGGGTGTGATGGAAGTGGGCGACTGGCCCTGCAGTCAGGATGCTGGTGGCACTTGAGGGGGGCAGCCTTCCTTGTCAAGTGTCACATCTGATCCCATCATGGTCCCTGGGCCTTTGCTTTTTTTTTTTTTTTTTTTAAAGCACTGCAGTATTTTATAACAGTAGAAAATGCTGGGGATCGGTACTAGCAGACAACGTGATCCATGAGCCCTGGGGGAGGGGTCAGCAGTTGGTGTGGTGGACGCCAGCCATTTACACTGAAGCCTTTCGGTGGACAGCGTCATCAGACAAGAATACAGCCACTCTTCATGTTTTTTACGTGAAGGTAACCTGTGAGAGCAGGGGTTTTTAACTCTGGCATCTTATGAACCTCCACCTCGTAGTCTCTGAACATATGGTGAGAGCACTCAGGAGGGAGATGAGCTACCGAGGCCTGCGCGGCTCTCAGGGAAAGCTGGAGGCCGCAGAGAAGCAGGGGCTGCCTGCTGATGACGTCACCGTCACTGCTGGGCCGTGACGGCCTCTCCTGCCTGAGGCCTGCCGTCACCTTGCTGAGTGCCTCGTGGTGAGCCTAGGCCATGGCCGGCCCGTCTTCCCTGTGGGATCCCTGTGTCATGTTCAGCAGTCGCTACAGCAGCTGACAGCTGGGCACGTGACGTGCTGAAACTGAGGTCTAGCGAGGTAGGCGCAGAGGGCGAGTCACGCTGCAGGCCGAGGCATCCTTACATAGCCTGCATGTGGGGTCGGCCTGGCTCTGCCTGGACACTAGACTGCGGGGCTGCCCATCATGTCCACAGAGTGGGGTCGGGAGCCTGGCCCGGGTGTGGCTGCCCACCTGCCTTCCTGTTGGGACTCTGGCATTTGTGGAGCCTTGGGTGGTGCTGGTTGAACAGCCCCCACAAACCCTGGCCCTCAGGCTTAATGAGCTTGCCTAGTGCCAGCATTCCGTGCGTCTTGTCCCGGCTTGTGGCTGGGAATTGAGCATGTCCTGTGTGACTCCACCAGGAGAAACTCCAGGAATCTCGAGTCTAGTTTCCTGTGGTCCTCACCCCTTTGCTGATTTTCCTTTCTGTCCTTTTCTATTGTAATAATCACGGCTGTTGGTGTGACTGTGCCTGAGTCCTCCCAGTGAGTCGTGAAACCTGGGCTGGTCTTAGGGACCCCACAGAGTGAGTGAGGTAAGGTCCTGGAGCTGGGGCTAGAGCCTTCTCTTGCAGACTCCCAGTCATGGTTTTTTCCCCACTGTCAACTCTACTCCCTTTAAAAAAAGAAAAGATTAAAAAGAAGTAACAGAAGAGTTAGTGCCGCTGTGATTAGGAATGCATTTCCACTGTCTCATGTTAGCTGAAATCCTTCCTCAAATTCTGGACCAAAAGGAGAGGGTAACCTAAGGAAGTGACCACAGCCTTACAGCCGTTGTCATAAAACTGGCAGACACGGCGCTTGAAGAACTAGGCTGTTAGTTCTTTATGAAACTTGACCGGAAGAATCGGAAACCTCATTTATCTTTATTACAAGACAGTTACATAAAACCTTGCACTGTGAGGGTCAGAAGCTCTGACTGTCACCTTAATTTTGATGGGGAGGAGTCCAGATAGAATAGGTCATAGAAAGAATCTCCTTCCGTCATTTGGAAAGTTCAGTGTCTGCTCTGTGTGGCTCCAAGTGGCTGACTAGAATACCTTGAATATCCTAGACTTCTTTTACATCTTTATGTAGGTTTTTTGTTGTTGTTACATGAGCATAGAAGAGTCTTTAGCTTGGCAAGATTCCATAGCACTAACAAAATATTGTGGAATTTGCCTATGTTTTCTAAAACTTGCCTTTAGTCCTGGGATAAAAAATGCTGTCCTCTAGCCGCTGACCTTGGCAATCTAATGGTTCAGAATCCACTTGTCCGTTTTACGGGACACAATTGAACCTGGTTGGGGAACTAGGGTCCCACATGCCCGTGCACCGCAGCAGAAAAAGACAGTGTTGTCTTATGAGTTTGTTCTCAACAAGCTTGAAAACTTGAGTGAGTACTGTGTTTGAGAAGATTAATTGTGTCTCTAGGAAATAAAATACATGATGAAAAGAATGCCTTTCTCACGGCAGCTAACTGATGTAGTGAGAGTGATGTGATTTAGGCAGCAGTTTTCTTTGCCCATCTCACAAAGGAGAGAGAGTTGCGTGTTCCTCAGCTTCACTGTGAAGGAGCTGGAGTCATCCTTTGGGGCCATGTGTTCTATTGTTATTTGAGTATGTCATCTGTTGGCTGAAGTCACTTTCATCCAGAGGAGAGAGTGGCGATATTCAGCCCAATCTCCAGCTTAGAAGGCGTCCTCTATGTGGGGTCTCAGCACAGCTGAGCTGTGAACGTCAGTCAGCATAGTATTTGGACATGTTCTGTTGTTTTACACGTATTGTTTTCACAATTCACACACACATGATGTGTTCAGAAACCAAGTACTGCACGATTCACTTCTCACTGTCCGTTTTTAAGAGGCCATATCGCTGTAGGATATTTGTGAGATGTCTCTGGATCTCAGGAAAATGTTGGTAGATTCCTGTCACTTACTCTCCAAGGCTTCCCTTCACAGACAGATGCTGTCTGCCCACGTGGACACTCACTGTCACCCCACTGTATATGCCAGAAAATATTTCTATTCCGTATGGTATGATTTAGTTTGTGAGGCTTTGATAGAAAGAGTGTTGGTGTGAAGTTTCTTCTGGAACCACCATTTGGGAACCAGGCTCCTGAGACGGCAGCTGCTTTAAGTCTGAGGATAATTGTAAGCTATAGTTGTAAGCTCTAGATAGAGCTGAAACTTGTCATTGGACACATTGTAACTCTTCAGTGAACTTTGTGAGCCTGCAGTTTTGAATATAGCTCTCATAGTACTTGTTTATAAAAAACTTGCAAACATTCACTAGACATTATTATCTGATGGTTGTATTGTTAAGGGGAGGATTGAAGCTTTCTTATTTTTGGTTTTAATTTGCTTGCTAATACTTTGGTGTTAACAGGGAGGTCCCAGGGCAAAAACAGATGAGAAATGTGCTCTGTAACAGCCCTCTTGTTTCTTTTTTTTTTTTAATTTGTTTTTGGCTGCACTGGGTCTGTGTTGCTACTTTCTCTAGTTGTGGAGAATGGGACTGCTCTGTAGCTGAAACGCTCAGGTTTCTTATTGTGGTGGTCTCTCTTGTTGGAAAGCATGAGCTCTCGAACATGGGCTCACAGCTGTGGCTCACAGGCTTCCTTGCTCTGCAGTGTGTGGGGTCTTCCTGGATCCGGGATCAAACCCGTGTTCCTTGCATTCATAGGCGGATTCTTAAGCCCTAGAGCCCTAGTGAAGTCCACCCCTCTCATTTTCTGTAAGTCATTCATACAGGGAGGGTGACTAGATTCATAAGATACTTTGGGAAAAGGGCAGTTTCTTACTTCTTCTGCCACTCCCCAGACTCTTTCCACTGTTTTCCTGACTCTTGTATCTGGTGCTCTGTCTGAGTGCTGCGCGTGTCCTGCTATCTCTCAGCTTTTTGTCGCTCTTAAGAACTTTACTTCACACTATGAAGCGTGAATTTCAGTTCTGTCCTCCTGCCCGCCCTCAGGTATACTTTCCCTCCCCACGTCCACCAGACCTAGTCATGTTCTCATGTCATTAGGACACCCTAATAGGTCCTAATGCATGCCGTTCACAGCTCACTGTGCTTGGCGCGCGGGCCCTGCCCGCCGCCCCCTGGCTCTGTCTGTCTCTGACCTGTGCGGTTGTCTGCACACACCCCCTGCGCTCGGCTGGCTGCACACTGCGGTTGGGTGCGTCTCCTCCCGCCTTCCCGGCCACACCGGCCACCTCCGCCGCTTTCTCTGTCCGCCTCCCGGGGCCGCGCTGCACCTTGCTCGGAGGCGCAGCTGCTGACTCTTGGAGACATCGTCTTTCTTGGTTTTCTCCCACACCAGTCACTTTCTGAGGAAAGATGTGGACAAGAATAGTTTTTCGAGCCTGAGAATATCTTTATTCTCTCTTGATATTGGTAGTTTGTCAGGGCCTAGAAATCTAGGTTATAAGTCCTTTTTTTCATCCAAAATGTGGAAGCTCATGTG